AAAAATTCTGAACCCGTTTTTTTATTTGTTTGTTTACTACACAATCATCTGTCTCTGGTGCAGTGGCAGAACAATCACTGCCAGTCATTGTAACCTTTCAGCTGTGTCCTACATATTTTCTGGACACTCTTCTTTCAGTGATACAGTCCATCCATTGAGTCATCCATTTTCCTTCGCTTGTCCACTGGAAATGTATTTCCATTGTAATAGTTTGAAAGATTAGTCCTTACTCAGATGCACATTTTATATTCAACGATGTTAATGATCTAACTAATTTTGTACCAGTGAGTAAGCATAGTTATTCACTGGTAAAATGACTAACTGATGTAATTAAAGAACATGAAACACATGAAATTTTACTAAAGCAGGAAAAAAATAGCTCGTCTGTTCTGATCATTTGTGTTTTTAGACAATAACTTTACTCTCCACAGAGCACAATGTGGTAATCAGAGCGGGTTCAGTTGAAGTTATGCCAGTATAGCTGCTGCGGAGAGCACAGAGCAGAGATGAGCGCCTGTTATCTTTAGAGAAATGCACCATTAGACTTTAGCACATGATGTTCTGTATCGTTTAAGGTGGCAGAGGGATAATTAAGCTGTGCTAGAAGAGCAGTGTATTCCCTATCCACCTGTTGCATAGTGCAGTTTACCAGTGGAGTAGCAGAAAGTTGGTCGCAAGGTGTAAGTTTACAGTAAGTTAGTATACTTAGATGTGCACTCTTGGTATCTTTCTGCCAAGTCTGTACAGTACTAAGAAACGACATTCAGCAGAGAGCCAGAGAGCTGCCAGGGTCAGTGAGAGAGAAACAGAGAGAGGCGGGACACGGGGATCAGAGCTTTCAGGGCCCTTCACACTGACTACTAATCATCCAATTTAGATCCCACATCTTCACTTTCCCCTGCTAAAGTGAATCTCTCAAAGTGTCAGAGGGCTGTCAGAGTTAAGCTGCATGTCTATTAATATTCTCTTCAAAGGGCGGGAACAGTGTCTCAATAACTGTTTAAAAAAAAAAAAAAAGTGCATAGCCATTCATCAAAGCATAATGCCAAGTGCAAGGTTTTTTGGCGAGATCATGACTTTATTAATATTTTGAGCCATTTTATTAACATTATGAAAGGTCTGTCATTCTGTAACTTTGAAAAGGGGAAAGACGGGGGTTATTATTTTCAGAGTGACAAAAAGAAGATGCCCTCATTTTCACTTCTTTGGCTGTTTGAATGAAGTAGATTGTTATAGATACTTTTAATCTACTTTAAACTCAACATCTTCAGGGATACGCCAGGCAAATTTTGAAGCTCTTAGGATAATCTGGAAGGAGTCACATTTTTGATAGTCAGCCTACGGATCCAAGCTCTTCTCTTTGTTTCCAGTATCATCATCAAATCCAAATGCATGATTTAATATGAAAATATCATATTTCTGGCAGTATTGTGAGCTCAGTCTATCACCCTAGAGTCGACTCTAACTGTGCAAGTGGTCACATGTTACAGCTCTCACACACCAGATGCATAATTTCACTGGACAAATTTGCAACATTTCTTTTTTCAGATCAAGCTTGATTTTTTTTTTCTTTTCATTTCATGAAAATAAACCGATCTGACCAGTTTAACCACTGCATTTGGCAGCAATTGCACTTAAAACATGCACTGATATTGAATATATGATGATACGGAAATACTGAAATAATACTGGTTTACCTCCAACCCACAGCCAGACGCTGATCCGGGTCAATTAGCTCCGTGGTATCGTTTCTCTGCCTCCTCAGATGTTCCCAATTCTGCCAACAAGAGCTCAAACTGCCCCACTGACTTCCTGAAATATGTATGAAACATGATACAGCTTCAACTCTGGATCAAACCCTTCTCTTGAGGATAGGATGAACCCAGAATCTCTATTTCTTCCTAAAAAAAAAACAAACCAGGACCAGCTTACGATGCAGACTTTTTTGCGGACAATGTTTTCCGCTACGATGGAACACTTGCTGTGTTTATATACGTTACACAATGAGGTCACATCTGAAGAAGAATTTTGTGTCGTTTTTTCCCAGTGCACTTGGTGTGTAAAAGCTTTCAGGTGCCGGTGTTCTTTGCTCCCATTTGTAGCTCACCTCAGAGATGAAAGCAGTTGGACTTTGTACCTGCTTCATATTGCTAGCAGTTATCTCTACTGACTCTACTACCTATGCTGATGCTGATATAACTGTGGCAGCAGAAGCATGCAGCACTACAAAGTAAACTGCTACAGTTTATTTGTGCTTTCAGATGAGTTTCAACCCTCAACCCAGGTGTGTTTTTTTTT